CCCATACAGAACCTTGGACCTGCTCCTTGACCTCACTTGATGAGTTCCCCTGCCACCTCCTGCCCACACCTCTCAATAGGAGCTTAATCACTGTGGAAGCAGAAGGACAGAGATGCTTTTCTGGTGTAATCATGCTGAGGCAGTCACATTATAAAAGGATTTTCAGGCATATACATTTATACACTTGGAAAACTAAGGTGAGCTCTAATCTTGAGGCCTCTTATTATACTGGAAGCACGCTTGGGGCTTTATTCTCCTCCAGTGTGGTGAGATGACGCACTGAGGTGCTCCTTGCACTTCTGATGTTCTTAGGATATTGAGCCAGTTGCATACTTGTCTACAGCAATAGCTTATCTTCCTTGATAGTAGAGATTTCCAGCCTGATTCCTGACCAGACTAAGAGGTAAAAAAAAAGACATTTAAGTTACAGCAAACAATCTTCATTTCATGCAATCTCAGATTAGAAGAAAACCAATTTGAACACACACACAGCCCCATGCATGAAGCCGTATTTGCCCTATTCTTTACTGGCTTTCCATGTGTCTCACCAGCCTTAACCTATACTTGAGCAATTTCTGGGGTTAGGATCACAACTACTCTATTCTCCTTGCATTGATGGGTAATTCTATGGTCTCCCTTTCCTGAAATCAAAATCCGATTATTTATAAGTTACATTAGTTTTCATTTCCCTTCCATAGTCATACAGAGGAAGTTGGATAATTATTCAAATATATGCCATTAGTTATCATGTATTTCTGAGGTCTTCTCTTTCCTAGTTTATAAATTCTCCAGTTTTCTCAGCCATTCCTGGTCTCCTAGGAAGGAATATCAGAATCCACTTCCCCTCCAAGCCTACTTCAAAGCTAATCTTATGTTTTTTGTCCTTGACCCCTTCTTTTCCTCCGTTGCCAGGAACTTTGCTCCATTCTTCTTCTCTCTCTGTATCTCCAGGGTTTCTCTTAGCCCCAGTCTACAGATATGCTTATTCTACCTTCTACTCAATATTTCTTACCTACTCTAAGAGACCATCTCATGTCTTGATTTCCTGTCACCATCAAATTTACAGAAAGAGTAGTACACAGTCACTGCCCCAGTTCCTCCTCATTCCCTCTGGTAATCTGCTTTCTGTCTCCACAGCTTTATGGAAATTGATCTTTAAAGGACATTAATGTGTTCGAAGTGATCTTTTATCAGTATAAAGGCTCTTCTCTCCTTCTGTAACATATAATATTGTTGCTGCCCCTCTGTCATAACAGCTCCTCCCTTAGACTCCCAAGCACTGTGTTCTCCTGGTTATCTTCCTACTTCTCTAACTTGCCTCCCTGGCTATTTCCTCTTCTATTCTTTTACCATGCCTTAAAGACCTGCCTTCAGATAATGTGCTCAGATCACTTCTCTTTTCTTTGTCTTCTCTTCCTTGGCAACTTTATCTGATTTTATGGTTTCATTTATTATTCTAATAGGGATAACCCCAAGCCCTCATTTCCATCTCAGCCCTGAGTTAGCTCTATAGTTCCATTTCAAGCTTCCTACTGAATATCTTCACTTGAGTATCCAGATGCCAAATTTGTCAAATTTGTGATATCCCAAACTTAGTTTCCTCCTAAACCTATCATTCTTCTCTTGGAATCTCTATTTTTGGTGTAAACACTGCCCTTTTCCCAATAAGCCAAGTTCTAGATCTATAGGTTATTTTTAGTTCTCCTCTTTCCAACACCCGCAATCTATCAGCTCACAGTTTCTTTCCACTCTCTATAGAATCTGCTCCCTCTTGTCCGTTTCCATTACCCTTACTTAGTTCAGCTCCCCCTCCCTTTTTTTGTACCTTCTGTTGGACTGTTGTGATAGTTCATTTGGCACATTCATTTCCCACTTTCAGTTTACCACATCTGCTGCTGCCAGATTGTGGTGGGCTTGCCTCTTACATAGGGGTTAAGTATTGATGTTAGTATTTGAGAAGAAAATCCCATATATTTAGCATTACCTCTGAAAATATATTGTCCATAAAGTAGAATCTACAGACATAGTGTTTTTCAGTAATTCAACACTGCCAGTTTTTCTTCCACATTTAGAACACATGACTGTTCTTTTGGTTGAATACCAGATGAAGTCATTTGCTTGATTTTAGGGGCCATGTAGAATGAAAAATATGTATGTTTAAACACCAGAATCACACTCCACACCACTCTGTTTGAATTCATGTAAGTTAGTCATGAGTGTGATACAAATCTACTGGAATATCTTAAAGCTCTGATCCTATTATTTCTGTGCTTAAAAACCTTTAGTGGCTCTCCATTGCCTATTAAGAAGTTTCTTTAGTCTGGCACTCAAAACCATCCATGGTCTGGCTTCAATTCACGTTTCTAACACAGGTTCCTGTCCATAATGGAACACCTGCCATTCCTCACACATGCTTTGCACATTCCACCTTCGTATTTTCTCTCACAGTGGTCTGATTACCCAGAATACCTTCTCCTTGCTCCCCATCTCTGCTTGATTTAGGCATTCTTCAAAGATCAAGTCATATGCTGCCTCTTCTGAGATGCCTTCACAGAGGTGTCTTCTCCTAGCCCTGCCCAGCCAAAGATTTCCCTTCTCTGAACTGTAACCAACCTTCATTTGTACCGATTTTATGGCAAGTATCATTTTGTATCTAGAATTGCCATTTCTGTTCATGTTTTATGAGACTATAAACACTTTACAACAAGGACAATGTCTGAGTCTTCCTTATATTTTTATATCCTTCACCACCATCATCTCCAGCTCCAAGCACACAGTCAGTTCTCAACAGGTATTTAATGAAAATAAATAAATAGTGTGGTTTCCCAACCCCTCCCTATGCAGATGAGCATTCCCTGATGTGCTGTAGCTTGGCAGTGCCCCAGAACTTGGGAGCCAGTGCCCCAGAAAGAGCAGCAAACTCTTCTTCATCCCAACATTGCTTCCACCAGGCGTGAACGAACTCAACAGCAAGGTGAATGGGTAAGAAGATATATGTAAATATTGAGCTCTTTGCTTCTTAAAGAGCAAAATAAATATTCCATTTGACTAAAAAAGATTTTTTTGAAGTTAACAATACAATGGCTGTTTAATAGAAGGCTTCAGGAAACGACAAAGTCGATTATTGGGGCTGGAGAACCCCCCTCAACCCATTGTGTAGAAAGACTGATGAGGCTTAAGGAATTCTGCAGACTTACTGTTTCCCACCAAACCCACTGCCTTCGAGTGGATTCCAACTAATAGTGACCCTATAGGATGGAGTAGAACTGCCCAATAGGGTTTCCAAGGCTGTAATCTTTACCAAAGCAGACTGCTACATCTTTCTTCTGCAGAGCAGCTGGTGGGTTTGAACCGACAACCTTTTGATTAGCAGCTGAGTGCTTTAACCACTGCACCACCAGGGCTCCTTCCTACTACTTTAAAGGATCAGAATATTTTTCAGTGCATCTCAAGTCCTGTGGGACTTTAACTTTTACAGAGAGAAAATCTCAGCCTTCCCCCTTGCCTCCCTCTGTTGGGGAAAAGTTACTAAGGACAAAATCTACTCCCAACTCAGAAAACCTCTCCACAAAAATAGAAGAGAAAGAAAAGTTTTATTACTGAATAAGCATTAAACCAGAATGTGATGCATCTCAGGCAATCCTCTAAAGAGATTGTAGAGACAGAAAGGAATCTCAACTATTATATGTTGTTGTTAGTTGCTGACCAGCTGACAAGTATATTCCAACTCATGGAGACGCCAAATGTGCTGAGTATAACTGCACTCCATAGGGTTTTCAAGGCTGTGACCTTTTGTTCACCAGGCTGTTCTTCTGAGGCATCGCTGGTTGGGTTTGAACCACCAATCCTGTGTTAGTAGTTCAGTGCTTAACCATTTGTGCCAGCCAGGGACTCATATAGCTAAGTGGATATGACCCATTACATTCATGTTTTCAGATAATATTGTTAATTTTCTACTGTCTTTATGGACAGATATCTGAAGTTATGCTAATCTTCCAGGAAACTGGGAGGTAAGGGTGTGATCTTCCTTGATTATTACATTTCAAGAAAGATGGTTCCCAAGTCCTTGAGGAAACATCCTTGATTTACATACTTTTCAAAGATACAGAGAAAGAATTTACAAGTTATCTAAAGTGAATTCTGAAAGAACAGGGGAGGAGGGAAGTCTCGTCCCTTATTTTCAACAGGGAGAATTAAAACCTCTTATTTTCAGTTTGTATAGACCTCTCTATAGGGTCACTATGAGTGGGAATCGACTTGATGGCAGTGGGTTTGTTTTTTGTTTTCTATAGACACGGCATGTTTTCACCCCAGAGGAACTCAAGCCTGAAGGGGAGCTCTGATCTCAGGCGCTGACTGGATAAAACAGCCCCTTGAATCTTTTCTGATTCATAACTCCAAACTCCAGAAAGACAAATCCCACTCTGCTTAAATGAGCAGTAAGATTTTTAATGAAGGTCTGGGGTTGGGGACGATGGAAAATGTGAGCCTATCTTATATTTTTCAAGGGATGGGGCATCTTTATCTTTATTGTGGACATGCAGAAAATGTACTCTGGCCCAGCGACAAAGAGAGGGAGTTTGACAGTGAATTTACACTGGCAGTATTGACTTCAGACTGATCAGAGAAAATTACCGCCCTAACCTCTTGTAAAATCTTAACGTACCACGAGAAGTGCACAGCGTTGTCCGATGTAGTGTTCAGATTTGTCTTGACCTTATTGAATCATGGAAAGTGGCTTTTATGAGGGAAGTCTTTTTAAAAAAAAATTTCCTGTACGATTATTCAGGTGGCTTTTCCTGTTTCTCTCTTCCTCCTGGATTTGGGTCCTGTAATTACTATCGCAGAGAGCTGGAAAGATGCCTGCTCTCACAGCCCTGTCTCCTCTGCTCGGGCTCCTCGCTCCTTTCCCCCCACCCCCCACCCCTCTTTCTGGCCCCGCCTCCTCTGCGCAACGCGTAGCCAGCAGCTAGACAGCTGGGTTCAATCAGAAACCACTTACAACTCCAGACGGTTCAAACGGGGAAACTTCAGCGTGAAGTGCAGCTCTGCTCTGTCTCTCTGTTGCTTTCTTTTCCTTTCCCGGAACTGGAGGCGCGGATCTTCCTCGCTCCGCTGCCGTAGTTTCTTCTGCAGCTCGCCTAAGCTTTCCAGGGTGCGGGAACCTGCTGAGCGGTGCCCTCCAGCCTCGTAATGGGGGAAGGCGAGGCGCCGTCGGACTGACGAAGCAGCGCGAGGGTGGCATTGCCCCGGGACCGGCGGTCGGAGCGCGCAGGCGGTTCCCAGCGCAGGCTCTGCCGCTGCAGCAGCTGCGTGCGCGCCACGCCACTGAGCTTCTTGCAGCAATGGCTCGTCGGTGAAACGAGAGCCGGGTCTGGCTCCTTTTAGGATTGTTTGCATCCTTCATTTGGGCTCCACAACTGTCCTGGATGAAAATGGCTGTCTAGACTAAAATGTAGGAGAAGGGACCAAGCAGTGGATATCCAGCCTGTTAAGCCCAACTCAGAAGCTCTGAGACCTGAAGGAGGAAGAGCCCGGCTCTGAAAAGTGCAGTCATGAATTCTGGAGTTGCCATGAAATATGGAAACGACTCCTCGGCCGAGCTGAGTGAGGTAAGAAACAGCAGAGGTCGGGAGCTCGTGTTTCTCGGACATTTTGCTTTTCGAACAACCCCCTCTATTCCGCCCCCCGCCTCCATCGGGCTCCCAGTCTGGAGGCAGCGCAATTAAAGATTAATAGATTTTCTGGATCTTGTTTTAACTTGTAGTGCTACTCAGGAAATGACCTGAACTGGGTTGATATTTCGGTTTGAAACGAGTGGTTTAAAAAAGAGTCAGGCTCTGGCCAAGGCACTTTACTCTCCGCAGTCTGGATCCCCTGTCCTTTCCCACCACCTTCCCCCAATTTATATACCACCTTCCTTTTCATGGTAGGTAGAATGTCCAGGGATCCCAGCTGAGTTTAAGTAACTAAATTTGATGGCTGGGGGAAGGAGGGAGCACACTGGATTATGTCGTCTACTACTTTGGTCCCACCGTGTGGTGCGTCTGGTTAAGTTCAGGCAAGGTGGTCTCTCCTCGGGCGGAGATGAATGACTCGCGCCGGGGTGGGGCGTGGGGAGGAAGCACATCAAAGCCTCTTAGAACTTTATTTCCTGCCTGGGACTGGACACCCGAGTCTTTGAGACGAGCGCATTTGCAATTCCTGGGCTCTCACAGTAAGATATCCACTTGAGTGTTAGAGAGCAGCTTTGAAATTAAAGCTACATCAAACAGTACGCAAATATGTGACCGGTAAGATGCTCAAAGCCACCTTTTTTGATGACTTTCGGGCACATCCCCCAAGGCTTTGTGTACCTGGAAAGTGGTGACTGGAAACCTACGGTACTGAGTGCTCCAAAGAGATGAGGAAGTGTCTACAGTAGAAGGCTTGTTGGCTGTGGTTTTCCCTCTTAGTACCATCACTGAGCCATTTCGGGGGGCAAAAATAGAATAGTCTGTGCTTCTCGAGAGAGAAAAGGGAAGAAAAGGAGACCATTGTAAAAACAGCCGGAAGGCAGATAGCGGTGATGTCAGATTACTGACGGCGTAAGGAAAATGAAAGGATGCAGCCCTCACTCCGGGGGAGAGAGCTGGTGATGGGGGAGGGGAAAGGAGAAGATCGGGGAGAAATCCGATAAGGTCTGCGTCTGGTGCTTCACCGCCTTACTACGGTGTTGTTCCTGCTCGACTTGGAATAACATTTTGAAGGTATTGGCCAAATGAGGTAGAGGCATTCCCTCATCCTCGTATTTCCATCTGTCGTGTAGAAGGCTCAGGAGACAAGAGAACTTAATTTAGAAAAAGGAGTCAGGAGGACGTAAGAGATTTTTGACGGCTGTACATGCAAGGGGAGCCCTGGTGGAGTAATGGTAAAGAGCTACTCCTGCAAACCAAAAGGTCCGCAGTTCGGATCCACCAGGCCCTCCTTGGAAACCCCGTAGGGCAGTTCTACTCTGTCCTTTAAGATCGCTATGAGTCGGAATCGACTCGACGGCAACGGATTTGGTTTGGTTTTGGTTACATGCAAGCAGAGGTCTCAAATCAGAACCCAGGACCCTGGCTGCCTAGCTAAACAGTATTTAAAGAGACGCCTTTGACTTCTGATGTCATTTAAAAAGCAAAAAACTGACAAGGAGTCTTTGCCAAGCCCTTCAGGTTGTTTCTCTTCGTGGCAGCTTCAGCTCTCTGTCACCTGAAGTATGCTGCTCAGTTACCTTTGTTTAAAATGAATCACAGATTTAGGATGAGGGTAGCTAGAACACTGAATGGAGAAAAAAGAATCTGTATTGACTTTAATAGCATTGGCACAGTGGGTGAGTGCGTTAGATGAGCAAGTGTCTATCAAACTCAGGTGCAAGGTAACCTCCATTCTTTTGCCTAGTTGAGCCCACGCTTTAATTACTCCCTAGAAAGCTTGTGGCCAAATAAAAGTGTTACGGGTACTTTGTGGCCCCAGAATTAGTTAGAACGATAATATTTGAGCATTATAGGACATAGTCTAGTCTTGTCCCTAAGGTAATAAGTTTCTGCCCCAACTATAGCCTTTACCAAAATTTCTTTTCTTTCTCTGTGTATGGTGATTCATTTTCTGCCTTCTTTTGAGCCAGTTCTAGGTTCCATGATTTAGTTGCCTCTCTGTCCTTCCAGTCCTAGTTTCCCTGCAGATTAGGTTGTTATAATAGTTTGTAAGGATAGTTATTTTTTGTTTTTGTACATATTTTAAATTAGTGTATGTGTAAAGGGAATTTGTAGTGCAGTGGGGATGGGGTGGGGTTCATACCTTGTGGACTTTAAATCTTTGATTTTAATCGATTGAAATCTCAGTTCAGGTTTAATCAGTAAATGCTTTAGCATTTACCGTTTTCCATAGTATATCCATAGATCAGTATCAATTCATTTGTATTTCTCAAATCGTTTCTTTTATGTAAAGGAGAGTTTCTTTTCATATAATTTTTCTCTTTCTTTTTAAGCACTAGTTTTGCTTTAGCTTCTTATGGTGTAAAGTGGCCACCCTCTTTTGATGGTTGACTCCTCCTCCTCACCTGGAAGCTGAAGTAATAAAAACCCTCAGTGGCCCCTTTTGTGTCATACCCCTTACTGCTCAGGAGTCTCAGTGCTGTCTGGAGTCAACTTGGGGTCAGATTCAGCCTGATGTTCAGCAGGCATTGCATGAGAAGGAAGAGCTCTGAAATGACCCAGCATTATTCCAGGATCATAAACAAGAGGCCACTCTCATTGGTGTTGACTTGTGAGCTTACCTCCTTCACAAGGGTCCAAGCCACAGGAGTTACTGACTCTTTGACAATAATGTTGACACTGACTCCATAACATCCTTGACAAGGGGGAGTGACTGACTTTAATCAATTCTAGATGTAATCTGCTGATCCAGTTAGTGAAAACAGCAAGCTTTGGTCAACAATTGAGGTGTTGGCCTCTGCCCATAGTGCTCCAGGAATGCTTAGATACAAGTGAAGCAGGAGGGATTTGGATGTGAGGGATACATGATTAGGAGACCTACAGCTGAATGCTGGGCATGAGGTGTTTTGCATGTGTGAGAACCTTAAGGGAAAAACAGGAAATTCACGAATGTGTTCCTTTTGTGTCTTTAATTTGAACAATAGCTGTGTAAGATCCTGTGAGTGGATTATAGAAGGTAGTAAAATTGCCTCTACCTGTGGCCAGTCAGAGACATTTTATTCATCCAGCACCACAGATGGCTTATATCCAGTCTAAACACTTTCATCAAAGCATACTAATCCTTAGCATTAACAACAGAAATGCGAAAGGAAAATTTGAGAAGCATGAAATGACTACTGGTTCCTTTTTCTTGGCTATTAACTGCCCCTATCAAATACTCAAAGGATGGTTTTCCTTTTTAGGGAAGACTTCAACGTCAGCCAAATCAAAATTACTTAGAAAATTAAATGTTAGACTTTCAACTCCACTCTCTCACCATCAAGAAGCTGAGCAGCCACACTTTTCAGTGCCATTAAATTAAATTCTCTGCAGAGCTTGTCAAGGGAAGGCTTTTGTATCTCCATCCTCATGGATTATGGTTGGCAGTTGCTCTGTCTTGGTAAAACCTGTGAGGCCAGTATGTCACAATCAAATCTCTTGGCTCTGGGAATAAATTCAGACTTTAGGAGGAAGATATCTTTTTTTTTAAATCTTTTTTAAGCACTTTATTTGGCTCTTTCTTCTTGCCACAAGATCACCTGTCAGTATGAATAGCTTCAAATTGCATAAATCTACAAAGATCCCTGTATAGAAGAGAATAAGGGCAATATAGGAAAAAAATTGAATCAAGTAGAATGTTACAAATATATATACAGGTTTCTTCTGCTATCCAAAAGTAGTGTGTTCCTATGAAATTTTTGTTTAAATTTTTTAAATTGTACTTTAGATGAAGGTTTACAGAGCAAATAGTTTCTTATTAAACATTACACATATTGTTCTATGACATTGTTTAACAACCTGACAACGTGTCAACACTCTCCCTTCTCGACCTTGGGTTCCCTATTACCAGCTTTTTTGTCCCCTCCTGCCTTCTAGTCCTTGTCCCTGGACTGTTGTGCCCTGTTAGTCTCGTTTTGTTTTATGGGCCTGTCTAATCTTTGGCTGAACGGTGAACTTCGGGAGTGACTTCACCACTGAGCTGAAAGGTTGTCCAGGGGCCATACTCTGGGGGTTTCTCCAGTCTCTGTTAGGCCAGTAAGTCTGGTCTTTTTTTGTTAGAATTTTGTTCTGCATTTTTCTCCAGCTCTGTCTGGGACCCTTTGTTGTGATCCTTATCAGAGCAGTCAGTGGTGGTAGCTGGGCACCATCTAGTTATACTGGACTTAGTCTGGTGGAGGCCATGGAAATTGTAGTCCCTTAGTCCTTTGGACTAATCTTTCCCTTGTATCTTGTTTTCTTCATTCTCCCTTGCTCTCGAAGGGGTGAGGCCAGTGGAGTATCTGAGATGGCTGCTCACAGGCTTTTAAGACCCCAAACACTACTCACCAAGGTAGAATGTAGAACATTTTGTTCGTAAACTATGTTATGCCAATTGAGCTAGATGTTCCCGGACACCATGGCTCTGCCCAGCAATTCAGTCCCTCAGGGAGTTTGGATGTGTCTGTGGAGCTTCCATGACATTTTCTTGTACAAGTTGTGCTGGCTAGGAGGAAGATATCTCAAGGTACAGCAATATCAGGGTAAGACTTGAATTTAATCTTCTTTTCAGAAAAGCTGTCTACTGGATCTGTTTTTCCTATGTATGTAAGAAAAATAAAAATTTATCTTTGTTTGCTCTTTCCTGGCAATCATTAAAACCTCTGAGGATAAAAAAAAAATTCTTTTTTACTCGAAAAATAATTTGTCCAAAGCAGTCAATGTATATTCTTTGCCTTTTAAACATTATTTAAACAATAAACAGGTAAAACTCTCCTGTCACTATTTACTTTGAAACCTGGACAGCTCCTGGGAACCATACTTCCCTTTCTTTTTCTCTCCTTATCTCTTTATTCGAAGCCCTTTTCATCAGATCATTCCACTTCCAAATCTAGGCATTTACTTGTTGGGTAACTCCT